TTCCGCTTAAACATCTGATACCGATGTCATGTTCCCACGGACATTCGAATAGCATTTTTCGCCCACAAAGTCATTGTAAAGAACATTTAGAGGCATCAACACTTGGGAACATTGATATGTCAAATGTTTTTTTAAATAAGTATTTTTTTATAAGTTTTCTTATGCGATGCAAAAAAGAAAATAAAAAAAATTAAAATCATATGGTATCATAGCCCTACCTTGATATTATTGTACCCATGGTACAAAAATTGAAATCATATGGTATCATAGCCCTACCTTGATATTATTGTACCCATGGTACAATGATATCAAGGTAGGGCTATGATACCATATGATTTCAATTTTTTTTTATTTTCTTGGCTTAATATGTCATCTTTATTTGTTTATGTATGTGTTTTTTATTTTTTTTTTTTCAATAAAAAAAAAAAACAATTGTTCAGAAAACATTCAAATTAGGATGTTTTCAAATGTTTGTTTCATCGTATGCATCGACAAAATCTAGAGTTTTTGTAGCGAAATAATCCTTTAGAGATATATAGAACCTGGTTGTGAAAAGAAGTGTTGACCTTTCATTCAGTTTTCGCGGTTTTCAATTATGTATTCAAAATAAATGCAACAAGTTGTTTGATTTTTTTATTGTTTTGATACTAATTCTGACATTACAAGCCAAACAGGTATACCTCTATACTTGCAATTTTTTCAAACTTGGCCTACCTTCTCTTCATTGTACCATGCATACCATTACAACCTCTGATTTGCGTCGTATAAGAAAACATATAAATATCTAATTATTTTTGACAAAACAAATTTTGACATATCAATGTTTCCAAGCGTTGGTCCATCTACCTATATTCTTCTAGCGTGATACATACATACACACACATACCACGAAAATAAAAAAAATGAATCAATTGGCTTAATTTTGCCCTACCTTGACTTATTTGTGTCATGGGCAAAAGTAAATTTTGTGTTGTTATTGAAACACTATGAAATGATGTTAACATTTACAATTTTGGTCCATTTTTTAAATATTGTTTTTGTTTATTTTTAGAATGTTTGGCATTTAAAACAATACATACACACATACAATCTAATGTTTTGCTCCGGAACCTACAAGAATTAAAGAAAATGTTACTACCACAACCAATTTTCCTTTATGATATCCATGGTTGAGTCAAAAAGGTAAAGTCATGCAATCATATGTTTAAAATTGTTAAAAAATCTTAATTTGACAACATCTCATTGTCAAATCTATATATAAATGTAAGTTGTGTTAGTTACTACGCTTATAACTTAAGAACCGCTGAACTGATTTTAATGATTCACACAAATTCGGAATTGTCTCCTCTCCGAAAAGGATAATATCCAAAAAAAATCGCGTAAAAATATGATATATTAACATTTTCATTTTGACTTTTCAAATGTACAATAGTAGTGTTTTATTTTGCATGATTTTTTTTTCTATTTTGACTTACTTTTTTCTAATGTACATTTGTAGTGTTTTTTATATTTTACTTTTGAATTCGAATATTAATACCAATTTATTTAATTGACTTGATTTCTTGAGAACTGAAATTGATGGCGGGTTACATGGAAGTGTAGTACCGAATTATGTGGTGGCGAAACGGAATAGATGATATCGAAATAATTTAACGCCGTCACACCAAAGTTAAAAGATAATTACTTTTTCAAAATCGCTAAAAAATCACGAAAAAAAGATTTAATTGCAAAAATTGTCAAATCGGGAAAAAATCTAAAAAAAAAAATTTCAATGGAATCGAATTTTAAAATAATAGCACATTCTATTGATAAACTTTGTAAGGATCTTTAAACATTTGCTGTATAAAATCAGAGAACAAGTTGAAGATTTTTTCAATTTGTTATTTTTCTTTTGTAAATTTTTTTCAATTTGTATTATCATATTGAATTCAGTGGATTTTTTGTGAACAAAATAAAGAATAATTTTTCACTACATACAATTTTTCACCTAAAAATGAAATAAGTGCGAAATACGATGTTAACTGACATCTACCTTTCAACTCCAGGGCCGACATCGTGGTTCAGCTGGAAGATGCGAACACATTTAAACAAATAAAAATTACCGAAAAATCCTAATGGGGCTCATTTCAAAGCGTGGACCTACTCCTTTCATGTGACAATAATCCGTCCAATGAGAGCTCAAAATGCAAAATTCTTTGGGAGTACAATCAGTAAAATACCAAATTTAACAGGTGCAAAATAGTAGAGCGAATGGGACTTTTAGTAAGAAAAGGATTTCTATCCTTCCAAAAATTCTTCCCAAACATTCAAGATACCTTAAATCGCTTTTGCAGGTCATGATATCGATCATAACTCACGGATAAGGGTGCAACCCGATTTCCTATTTATATAACCATCGTATGATTTAAGCTATTTTTGGGATCTTGGCCACTTTTTTCATTTTTTGGCCCTTATTTGGCATTTTTGTTTCTAATGGGGTAGAGAACCTCTTCGCATAAAATTTGAAATTTTCAGAGTAGGGCTCATATTGGTCTTGACCACATTCATCAATTGATTTGGCTAAAGAATGTTATGCCACCCTGGGGTAGGGAACCATCATACAGATAATTGCCACATAGGAATTTATTTAAGTAAATTCCCTACATTGGAGTATCCCCAAGCCCACTTTCACATCTAATGTGTGGTCAGAAAAGAAAATTTTGTATTCTATAGAATTTGTAACCCCCAAGAGAATATTGGTTGGGCCACTTTTTGGTATAACCCTCATATGAATGTATTCCTGATTCCAGCTATGACTGTGGTCTTGGCCACGTTTTTCAACTGATTTGGCCATTATTTGGCTCTTGGTTTTTCTATTTCGAGGGTCTTGACCACATTTTCCAACCATCTTTCAGAAAAATGTCAACATACGTAAATATTTTGGTACAGTCCCCATATAGTCCCCTGGGCCGCCGATCTGTAGTGATTTTTATCGATTGGCGGACGACAACACGGGCATTGTTTAATCGTCATTGAATTGTACTATGAACAAGAACATAGACTTTTTGGGGACGCTAATGCGCAATTTGAGGTGCTATGGTAATAGGTGTAAAAGCGTAATTAACTTTGACTATTCAGAAATTATTTTGCCCTCCTTCCATAGATATTTATTTCTATTTAGTCGGATCAATATTTATATTAAAATTTGTTCACCTTTATGAGCTAGATTTGTGAAAGATTATGCTATATAAAATTTGCATTACAGACTAAAACAACGGTCCTGTGACGCGGACCGGCCATTTATAAATCCATTGTAAATACAGAATAAAGGCCTGCACAAGACGAATTGTATAAATTATGCTTTTTTCGACACACTGACTTTGTCTACTCAATCATGCGCTATGTATTTGAAAAGCAATGACAACCAACAACATCCCCCATTTTGATTCATGTGTGCCATTGTCTAAGGTTCGATCGTGGCATGGCTGACTCGAATATTTGCATGGTGTTCTCGAAAAATGCAGGGTGTCAACGATGACATCGAACCGTGTCATCGTCAAATTGTGTGTCATTTGTGTACGTGTGCTTAAATTGAGAGTGTGTGTGTGTGTTACTTTCGACGACGAGGGTGTGTTTTGTGTGTGCTGTAATTTTGAAGTAACAAACACCGCGTAAATATAAAATTGAGTTCAATAACAAAATGTACATGGGCAACAACAAATGAATAGAAAAAATGAAATATATGCTTAATAATCCCAATTTATTGGTGATTATCATAAAATGTTGGTCATAAAAAAGAGGTAAATATTGTTTGCATATTTTCAATCTACATATATTGTTCTTTTAAAATTAAAGTTTGTGGGCAGAGATTTGACTCTCATTCAATAACAGAATATACACAGAATTGAACAATGGTAGTATATAGTGTTGTTATGTGAATTACAGTAGCACTCATTCTCATTTACATATCAATACCGGAGGCAAACATTTATGAAATTATAATCAAAATGAGAAAATTTTTCAGGGGATTATTGTTTTTTAATAAGGATTAACATTTTAGATTGTTTCGTCAATAACCACGAAATGTGAACATTCTGTGTGGACCAATTAGAAGTACCTTTAATATTTTAGTAATCGCCAAGAAATTCTTTATTACAAAAAATGTATTTTTTCACATATCGGAAAAGCAGGTAGCGATTGCGCTTTGCCTTCATTATGTGTGTGTGTCTTTTTCGTTGGCAATTGTTTCATAATTGTTGTTGTTTTTTTGATAGAACATTTCTGTATGACACACTATTCAACATTCCCTTTTATTGGTCATTACATGTTATGACGATGGGTTTGAGTGTGACCGACATGACGAGACATCGAGCATTTAGTTGGATGTCACGTACTGTTATGCGTTTGATCAAACAGGGCACAACATGACGAGCATTTTTTCTCCATGACATAAATAGAGAAAAGTGTCACATTTGCAGCCCTTTAATACAGAAATCAGAGATGGTAACCTTTTTTATACAGTGAAATTTGACAAGGTAATTTACAAAAAAATTCAGAAATGGGTATGTTTATTTGAAATGACTGTACTTTCTTGATTTTACATTGAATGATATCGATGTAAGTTGCAAAACTATTTGCTTTTTGCAGGTTTTGAGAAGGAGCATGACAACATATAAGTACACCAAGAGAATAATAAATTGCAATAATGACAATAATTGCCTTGAATATGTAACCGTCCATTTGAATCCACTGTTTTCTGTTACTAATCAATTTGATTGTACATTGGACAATGAAAGACGAATAAGAATGTCGTCATTTCTCCGTCATATCCTAGACGAAGAAGAAATTTTAATTATTATTGCTTATTTTTCTGAAATGTGAAAAAAAATTCAATAACGCACAATAATTGCATTGAATATGCATATGTAACCGTCCATTTGGATCCACTGTTTTGTGTTATTAATCAATCCGATTGTACATTGGACAATTAAAGAAGAATAAGCATGTCATCATTTCTCAGTCATACCCTAGAAGAAGAAGAAGAAATTTTTATTATTATTGTTCATTATTTTTCTGAAAAGTGAGAAAAAAATGAAGTAATTTTGGATATTGGTGTAATTTTAACAATCAAATGGATTATATTGCGTCAAGCTCGTAATGAAATTCTAATCATACGCTGAATGTATTCCGCAAATATAAAGAAATAAAGGAAAAACCATCATGACTACGATGCTATCAAGGCACAAATTTTATTGTTAAAATAAATTTCATTTCTGTGGATGTGTGAAGTTATAAATATCGAAAGTCTCTGCACAACTCCAGTAAAGTAATTATTCATGTGATTAGATATGCTGAAAATAGTTTCCAAAATGAATGACGACAATTGTAAGTTGGGGAAATGAAGTGCATTACACACTCACATGCAAGTACAAAAATATAATTTTATAATTTTTTTATAATACAAATAATCCGATGAATATACTTTTTAAGCTTCTCAACTACTTATGACATCGATATGTTCCTAAGTATTCCAAACAGTGAATCATTCAAAATGTTAAAATAAAGCATAATTTAAACTTCTCGGATCTAGACCTAGGGTTAAATTCTCGAATTTCTTGTCTGTTAATGACCAAAATGTCTTCTATTGTCTGTGGAATATTTATAAATATACTATTGCCTTTATAAGATTTATATGTTTTGTAAACTTCGTAGGTTTTTCTTAGAATTCCCTGAGGTATTTATGGTCTATTGAAGGTCTTGAAGGCGTGAAACACGCAGAAACCTATTGTTCATAGAGGACTTCGAGGTCTTCCGGTGTCTCTAGGACTAAAATAGTTATAATCTGTGCACATGAAATGTTTGGGTGGAACAGTATTAACGAAAGCTTTTGAAAACCATTATTCGAATTAATTTTATTTCTTTGCAGTCGCTTAGAAACTTATATTTATTGTTATGTTCACCTTTAATTTCCCGATAGGATACAATTTAGAGACTCAGCTATACACAATCTTGTGGGGAACATATTTGCTTAATCTAACGCCATTCCAAAACTACTGTGAAAATGTTCAGTGGCACGGAATCACAGAAAACCACATTTCTGGATAAGACCAAGGCAGCCAGAGAAGAAAGAGCTCTTGAAAAGAAACGCACTGAGGCAGCCATTAAAATACAATCAACTGTTAAAGGATTTTTGTGTCGCAGGCGTTTTCTAAAGCGCATATTGTAAGTTCCAGAAGAATGTAGCAACGAATCTTTTTATATGTATATCCACTCTATTTCCAGACATGACTTTGATACCCTTTTCCCGAATAATTCTGCCGGCGATGAACACAAAGAAAAAATTGAGTTATACGCAGCCTCTGTTGTGTATCCGGTTTGTTTGCGTTTCTTGGCAAATTATAAATTATGCAAAGATAATGAAGAAACACGTGAACGCATTGAACGTTTATGTCGCTATTTGAATAAGTCAATGGAAAGTGATTCTCCCAAGCTTTCGTACGCCACTTTGTGTTTGCAAAAAGAAAAGAGGTATGCAATAGATTTAACAAATTTAATAAGAATCGTAACTTATTGAGTTGATATCTTTTATATTTAAGCTTGGCATGGATAGCACACATAAAGACTCTGCTTAATTTCATTCTTCAGCTGCTTCAGGACATTAAACCAGGTGAATATTAATTGAAAGTTTTTTTTTTTTCAATCAGATCCATAAAGCATTTTAGTTTGAAGGAAAAATATCTGCTCGGTTATAGTACCTGCAAGAATCTACTAGTTTTGCAATTTTCTTCGATATCATAAAGGGAAAATCGGTTATCGTAGTGAAAACTTTCACATTCTTGCAGTTCTAGAGCAGACCAATCGTTATTTTATTTAATCCAGTAACTCTTCTAAACTCCTCTTTAATAATTTGTGTATCAAATTTTACATCAAATTTTACAGAAAATCATGCAGATAGCATATCATTGGCTCTATACCTGCACACATTGGTGGTGTTCACTTCACCAAAATCATGGGGAATTTTACGTATAAAACAGTTTGAAAAAGTACAACCAGCATTGCAGAAAATATGCTGTAATATTCAAGGCAATCTTATACAAAATGATTTCTTCAAAATAATGAGAGTAAGAAAAACGCTTTTATGCTTTTAAAGAAATACTAACTGTTTTCCCTTATATCCCTTAGAGTCTCCTCCTGAAGGGAACTGCACGCGAAGACCTTTCATTGAAACCCGTTTCATTGATTGCCATAATGACTTTGTGCACACGTCCATTGTTGGATGGTGATTTTTCACGTAATATAATGGCTCAGTTTCTTATTGAGATATTATCAGTGCCGGCGCTGGTTTATCATTTGAATGCTGTCGCTCCACAATGCATTGAACAAATGTCCTCAATGTGGATTCTGAAACGAGCCTTAAACATATCGGAAGATATGAACTGGTTTAAGGATTATGGTTCCAGTATGCCGGGTACCAAAAGTTTGGCTTTGTTGGGAAACATAATTAATTTGTTTAATATAGAAAATGTGGCTGAGGCCAAGCTTTTGGCTTATCCCCTGTTGACGGTAAGCAGAAGAGAAATGTAATTAACAATGTTTCATAATGACCTCTGTTTGCAGAACACTGTAACAATGCTTTTTGAAAATATACCCAGCACATCTTCTTCAAAGGGCGTGTTTACACAGTGGCATGAATTGCTAGGCTGGCATACGCCCTCCAAAGATCCAGCACAAAATCAATGTGTTGCCATAATTAAAAAACAATTTCACATGTTGTGGGCATTACGTTGTCTACAGATACTATTGGGAGACCTTCTTAAGGAAATCAATGTGAATTTTGAACGTATTGAATTTCAGGCACCCAGTCTGGCCTCTACAAGCAATTTGTTGCGAAGAGCTCTTGAACGTAGTTCAACACGCACAAATCTAAACAAATCTGCCAAGGTTGCATGGCGTAAATTGGATTCTCCGGAAGTAATACAGGTCTCGCGTATTTGCGCCATGTATTATTCTGCCCTGAATACCTTGTCACAACTGAAACTGGAAATATTGACCGGTATATGCTTTGTGGATAAAGTATTCTATGATTTGTGGTTGTTTTTGACTTCAATGGGACCTAATTGCGCTCTGAAGGAATATTTAGAATTATTTAAATGTGAAGATTTTCAAAATAAGCCACAAACACAAATGTTGATGCTGTTTTGTGATTGCATGACCCACTACGTAACGTAAGTTTTAAATAATTTATAAGATTAAAAATGTATACGATTTTTTGTTTTTCTTATGCATTTCCTAGAGTCCTTGATGAGCACGAGATGTACACCGAACAGAAATGTTTTCAACTAAACGATTTTGTTATGCTGACATATTTTTTAAATAACATTTTGTATCGCATCATAAATGAGGATATATTTGGTAAATATTAATTTCTCGTTCGAAAGTACTCATTTAATTGTATTTCGATTTTAGGCAATACCAAAAACATCACCCAATCCCCGGTCTTTGTATCGTTGCACATGCTAATGTTGTGTCTCTATAAGAGAGATTGCCGACGTCGTTTCACCCCACCTAATCATTGGTTAATACCTGAGGTGAAACCTTCGACGTTTATCAATGATTTGGAAAAGGGAAAACGTCATGCAGTCATATTATTGCAAAAAATGCCTCACATTATACCTCATGAAGATCGTGTTAAGCTATTTAGAAAATTTGTTCAAAACGAAAAGGCAGTATTGGGTCTAACAGAATCAGCTTGTGCCTCGCCACGTTCTGCATTGATAGTTGTACATCGTGAGCGTATTGTGGAGGATGGTTATCGTCAGTTGGCCGCCTTGAAACCTCACGCATTAAAGGTAATTTCAGTGAATAATATCATAGAGAAAAATAGTCGGGAATATGTTTTGTGGAAAAATAGTTGCAACGAAGAAGATTCTGACTTAATTCAAGTTTGAAGGCAGCTCTATCTTTAAAGCGAGAATCTATTTTGTGTCAACCCCTTTGGGAGTTTCCCATCTATTAATACTGACAGTTGTTATATTTAAAATTTGACCTTATTTCACAAAAGAATACTAACCGCCTGTTTTTGTAACAATATTTCCCCATTTGTTCGCAAATTTATCAAAAAACTGGCTTTAGTTTTTGAAGTAAATGTGACATACACACCAAAATGTTCCCTTCTATTTTTAGTTCTGTAACAAAAATATATATATAAAGAGACTCACCTTCATGAACAGAAATTGGCTGTTTATCATAGAATCACGCTTAAATTGAATCTTTATAATGAACATCAGTATTCTGTTGGCACATTTTACTTATTTTGAGTACAGCTCATTAGGCGTGATTCTAACATTTTCTTTGGTATATTTTCGTTTGTATGTTACTGACGGGAAAACGTTTGTTTCGAAAACCAAAATCTGTTTTTTTATAACATCCACCTTGAAATGGAGGGTATATTAACTTCGTCATTCCGTTTGTAACATCCCTAAATATTCGCCGTAGACCCCATAAAGTATAAATATTCATAATCAGCAAAAAAATTCCAGTTTGATTTAACGATGTATGTCTGTCTGTCTTTCGAAATCACGATACAGCCCGCATTATTTGTCATAGAGCTCCAAAAACTTGGCAGAACGATTTGTATTGTGTCTAGGATGGTTGGTATTGAATTTTGATATAGCCGCCATATAACGGTACCTCCCGATATTCGGTATTTTGATGATTTTTGCCACATTTTTTCACGAATTTGTCTAAAAATTGGTATTTTTAGTTCGCAATGGACTTTAGCTCCAGTGGCTAAACATTGTGTACAGATAGGTCCACGTTCTTGTATAGCCCCCTTATAACGTTACCTCCCGATACTAGGTTTTTTGACGATTTGTGCCACATTTTCCATGGATTTGTCTAAAAATTTGTATTTGTATTTCATGATGGATTATAGCTCCGCTAGCGCAACATTGTATGTATAGGTCCACGATTTTGAGTAGCCTCCCGATATTCCGTATTTTGATGATTTTGGCCACATTTTTGATTTGTCCAAAAATTGGTATTTGTAGTTCGCAATGGGTATATATTGCTCCACGTTTTCGTATAGCCCCCACATAATGAGACCTCTGGATATTAGGTATTTTCATGATTTTTGCCAGATTTTTCCGCGGATTTGTTTAAAAATTGGTATTTGTAGTTCATAATGGGTTGTAGCTCCGTTGGCAGAACATTGAATATTTACGTCCAGGTAACGATACCCGCATGTATTCGGTATTTAAATAATCCCAGTCACATTTACTCACGAAATTGTTTCAAATTTGGCATTTAAGAAGATTTGGTAGATGACAATTCTTGAAGTATAAAATTCTCTATAGAGGTTCCCGTTTAGGTATGGTCCCCATACAACGGCCTCACCCACTTCATGGTTTTTTTGAAAAGTTTAACAGGGTTATCCAAACGGTCTTGTAGTTTAAAGAGGAACACTTTTGAGTACAGATGGTTTTATATAAACATGTTGGAGGTGTTAAAAGTTCGGCCCGGCCGAACTTAATTTTTTTACTTGTTTTCGACAAATTTGAGAACGAATAGGAAACAAATTGTTACAAAAACAGGCTGTAAATACGCTAGATGAAGATATATTTTTTAACGTACAATTTCGAACCACAACATGATTAAACGAATGCCAGATTTGTCAAACGAAATTGACGAAATGACCAACAACGCCATCTATGGTATTTTACATGTACATTCACTTATCTAATTTTATCTACAATTAACTTATTTTTGATTTTTATTTATGAATTGCATACTTTTAGGGAGTCATACGAGTACGTTTCATCAATCAACAAGGTCTCCACGAAGCTGGCATCGATCAGGATGGCGTTTTCAAAGAATTTCTTGAAGAGACAATAAAACGAGTTTTTGATCCTGCATTAAATCTCTTTAAAACCACATCAGACCAACGCCTGTATCCTTCACCCATATCCTATGTGCAAGATAATCATTTGCAACTTTTTGAGTTTGTGGGTCGCATGTTGGGAAAGGCCGTTTATGAGGGCATAGTTGTCGATGTGCCATTTGCATCGTTCTTCTTATCCCAACTGTTGGGCCAAACTCACCAAGCGCTTTACTCTTGTATGGATGAGCTGCCGTCATTGGATGCTGAACTCTACAAAAGTCTGACATTTATTAAACATTACGAACATGATGTGGCCGATTTAAATTTAACATTTTCCGTGGACCAAGATGTGATGGGTAAAATCGTTACCCATGAACTGCATCCAGGTGGTAAAGGACGTGCTGTGACCGATCACAATAAATTAGTTTATATACATTATATGGCCTATTTTCATATGAATACACAAATACGCGAACAGACTCAGGCATTCAATCGTGGTTTTCGTAGCATTGTCAATCCCGAATGGTTGTCGTTATTCTCACCGCCAGAATTGCAGCGTTTGATATCGGGTGATACGGTACCCTTAGATTTGAAAGATTTACGTAAACACACACAGTATTATGGTGGTTTCCATGATTCACATCGCGTCATTGGTTGGTTGTGGGACATATTGGCTAAAGATTTTACCGAAGAAGAAAAGAAGCTATTCTTAAAGGTATGAACAAGTAAAGTCCACATTTCGAAATTTTAATATGAATTGTTTTGATTATTTTGCAGTTTGTTACGAGTTGTTCGAAACCACCACTATTGGGCTTTGCCCATTTGGAACCACCTTTTTCAATTCGTTGTGTTGAAGTTGGCGATGATGAGGATACTGGCGATACCATTGGCAGTGTTATACGTGGTTTCTTTACAATACGCAAGAAGGATCCCCTAAATCGTTTACCCACCTCCTCGACCTGCTTTAATTTACTCAAATTGCCAAATTATCAAAAGAAATCGACACTACGAGATAAGTTGCGTTATGCAGTTACCAGTAATACCGGCTTTGAGTTGTCTTAACTCAACAAGTTTGGTTCGTCGTCAAATGTATCACTTGTTTTCAGCAGATGCAGTTCAATTATATTTGGTTTGAAACCCACATATCAATATTTAATGTTCATTATGCTTTCAGTAATTGATTGTGTTTTGTTTGTTAGCTATAGCTTTTTTTCAACTTCACACAAATTTTTATTTATATATTTTGGAAACTATTGGGAACTAATTGAAAAATGACGTCGTTAAATAGATTTCCATAACTTTGAGATTCAAATATTGCAATTTATATGTAAATCATATATCGAAATAATTGCAACTTTTATTGCCTGAATCTTTCTTTTTCAGGCAGATCTCACGTATGAAACCAATTATTTTCCGGTTCTTAATTTCTATTGGAAATTCATCACAAATCTATAAAAGTAGAAAACTAAAGAATATCAGGATATAATTAAAAAATATATATTATTATTTATAATTCTTCCCACCAATGTGCATCTTGATTTTTGAGTTTACATTGATTGAATTATTTTCAAATAATTATTGATTTTGAAAGGCAATTTTCAATCTATTAGGAACTGTGATATTGGATTTTTTTCGGAAAAGAAAAATTATAGATGGATTGAAATCGTTTGTTATTCAAAAGAGTATATCAACAAAATGATTGGCATTAATTAATTATTTTTTTTTTTGATTCTTAGTTAAAATTTACATATATTTTTTTATTAATTTTGCTCATTTATATTCTATCTTCAGATTTTAACACTTGAAATATATATTGTGGTCAATGTATTATAAAAGAAAACCATTATCTTGTAATTATACGCATTCACATATACACACATAAGTTGAACGTAACATACACATAATCTTTAATATATATAAATATTTGAAATAAACTTATAATTATGTATACACCGAACATTTTTCAAATAAAATACTAAAACGCTGTGTTTGTGTACGATAAATGTAACAGATATTGTTTTAAATGGGAAAATGCGTACATGAGTAAAGCGAGGAGGCCCAGTCCTGGAAATGAAAAATTGGAACCAACTCCAGGCGGCTGTCATTTCTAAGCCACGCGTCCGACAGCTGTTAAAATTATTACAGCGACAGTTCATTATATTGTTTACATTTTTATTTATATTTGGCTGGAAAACCACATGTGGCTATCGTCAGAGCACTCCAGCATTTGAATGTGAAAAAAATCTTTTGTGTCTCGTACCATCGCTCGTTATTGTGATACTGGCAGCGTAGCCCGACGTCAAGGAAGTGGACGGAAGAAAACAGCAACATCAGCAGAAATGGTTCGGAAAGTAAAGAAGCGACTTGATAGAAAACCGCGTTGCAGTGGTCGAAAAATGACTCGTGAACTGAACATATCGCAATATTCCATTCGGCAAATATTGAAACATGAGCTCGGGGTAAAGCCATTGAAATTTCAAAAAGTGCAAGAACTTACACCGTAACAGAAAGAAAATAGACTCAAAAGAGCTAAAAAGTGTTGCTTCGCTTGACCGAAAGAGGTGAACTGCCGAATTTGGTTTTCTTCGATGAGAAAACATTCTTCGTCCAGCAGCTTGTAAACAAAAAAATGATCGTGTTTACTTGCCGAAGAGGTTAGCTGAAAATGTGCACCTTCGGTTGGCCACCAGATCTCAAGCGCGGGCCATTGTGATGGTGTGAACCGTCATAACAGCCGATGAGCGCTCTCCGCTCGTATCAGAATAAATGACGAATATTATCGCGAAAATATTCTGGAGGGTGTATTAAAGCCTTGGGCACGCAAACATTTTGGCCGCAGACCTTGGACATCCAACAGGACTCAGCAACATCGTCACCCAAGAATGGTTACAAAATTAGGTTCCTCGCTTTATTTCCAGCGCACAATGGCCACCAAAATCTCCGGATACCAATCCGTTGGACTATTGTGCCTGGAGTATTTTGGAAAGCACTAAAAAATACCAAAGTGTCGATCACCTCAAGCAAGCTATTCGCGGGAATGGGCCAAAATACCTCAGAGCAACATTCGGGCAGCGTTTGACGGTTTCATTGGCTGTTTGAAGGCCATAATTCGTGCCAAAGGCGACCAATTCGAACAAATCTAAATTTATTCTAAAATTTGATGCTATTTCCGACATGTTTTGGTTTCATTCAATAAAATAAAAAAAATTGTAATAATTATTGCGTTTGATTTTGTTGCAGTTTTTTAATCTAACCCTGTATGCATATCAATACCTCCTCATTTTAGGTATTTTGAAATCAGCTGTAATTATGACATTTCGTTCTTGTAGTGGTTAAAAAGTAACCATTGTAGGTCCGCTTTTTAGCATATTCTCTATATAACACCAGTAAGGAAAAGTATAAAATCGGGAGGGGCCGACTATATGACACTATGGATATTTAGTAGAGCTCCCGTAACAAAAGAATTTATATGAAGTAGATCATACCACCTATCAATATTTGCCTTTAGAACAGTTATAATTTGGTTTCAAAGGGATCTAATATATGGGAGGCGTACCATTGCTATAGAGAGCTTAATATCACTTCGAGAAGGAATATATTAAATATATTATGTACGTCCCGAATTTCACTCGATTTGAGCTGATATTAGTCATTATTTTCACAATAAACTTGAAATCGTATTAAGGATATATATGGGAGCTATAACCAAACATCAGCTGATCTCGATAAAATTTGGCAAGGGTATTTACGAGCTCTATAAGATATCTGGTAGAGATCAAATCGGATGAAACATATATATGGGAGCTAAAGCTATATCTGACAAAGACCTTTGTATCTGAACCGCTTTTAGACTGAATTCGGTTGGATGTGCAAAATTCAGGTCATTTGGACTTATATTAGCCATTTGGTGCACAATTAACCCGAAATCGGTTGAAGATATATATGGGAGCTATATCTAAATTCCGATTCTCACCAATTTGAATAGGATTCATCCTTGAGCCAAACAAATTTAATCTCAATCAGTGTTGAGAATAGATACACGACCGTTTCGTCTGTGTGTTATTTCAATTCTGATTTTATTTAAGAAATATGTTCCTTACGTACTACTGAAACTAATCTAACTTAACCTAGTCGCAGCCACACAATTGTTCTTATCTATTCTAATATTGAATGGAGAACATTGCAGGGCTGCTTGTAATTTCATTCAACTGGTCTTGTGCATCTACTGAGCGCATCGATATCTGTGCCTGTGGGTCATAACCTTTATTATCTCACACATTATCGTATGCGTCAGCGCACAAGATCACTGAATTCTTCATATGTGATATTTTATGGCGGCTGGGAAATATTTAATTTTAGAACATTTATTTTTTATTGCTACATTTTCCCAGCGCCTCAATCGCACTCAAAAGTATGTACAAAGTATTTTGTACATTCTCCCGGGCGGCTTTAATGTGTATGTTAATAGTGGACTGTATTTTTAAAAAGTTAAATAAATGTATACTATAAAATATTTAAATATAAAAATATGAAAAGTAAACTAACTATATATGCTCAAACAATATAAATATTCAATTAAGTGACTGCTTCCAGGAAACGACTCCATTTCTTTGTCCAGTCCTTCTTGCAATTGCCACCACCTTTATCTGCCGGCTTCATTCTCCATACCGCATTAATAGTCCATCGATGCAGACCGCCATCATTCTTATCGGAAAGGATTACCATTGGCTCCATGGTACGCTCTGCTTTGTCGTCTTCTGTTTTCACGGCCATTGATGATTTGCTATTGATTCCGCTAAGGCCTTCAGGAACTGGAAACAGAGAACTTTGTTTGTTTTTTCCCACTTCTTCGATAAATTCATTTCCATACTCGTTGGAACTGATGGGACCTTCTGTGCGTAACTCCTTTATTCCTTTTTCCTTTACTCCAATATAATTATATTTTTCGAGTTCTTCATTGTTCAGGGTGGAATTTTCTTCTTTTTCTTTCCGTTCCTCAAAATGAGGACTTGCCGGCGGGAAACACTTCACAATATTTCCTTCTAAACATCGAATCTGTTTTAGATTAACAGCATTATGTCCCTTTCTTACACTTGCTAGTTGCTTGGACAGGTCATCTTTCTCAGCTTCCAAGACTCGTCGCGCTCTTTCCGAGCTAGCCAATTTTTCATTGACTTTATTTAACTTCGTTTTTAGATGTCGCACTTGATCATTCTGAACTCGATGTTTTTCTTCGAATTGTTCATCTTTGGCCCGCAGGTTTTCTTCAGATTTGGCGAGCAGATATTTTTCGTGGGCCTTCGCATTTCTCAATATCGTTTCACTTTTTTCCACTTCGATTATTAGTTGAGAACGCAATTCGATTGCTTGTCCCAGCAGAGATTGTAAATTATTTTCATAGGCTTGCATTTGTTCGTGCAAACCATCTTCCAATTCTCTGTCGTAATCTTCCTTTGTTTCGACATAGTTGAGTTGTCTGTTTTCTTCCACTTGCTCTTCCCAAGTTAAATGGTCGTATTTCAGCGAGAGTATCCATCGTGATGGAGGTTTCATCGAATCTTCGATTTCTTCATCGATGTCCAAGCCTGTGTAATTGCGACTCCGGGTTGCTAAAAGCTTCATTGCTGATAACATACACATATCCACATCACAGGACAATGTCTTCATAAGTGTTGGAAGATATTTTTGGTGTACCCTCAAGTACCGTCGTAACTGGTAATATGTGTTTTCTACCAGTACCTTCCATGCCGCGACGTGTTTCACCTTTTCAAAGGCTGACGTCGACGTTAATAGCTGGAAATAGTCTGCCAAAGTGGTGATATTTTCTTCCATTTTTTTATTCATTTTTTATTTAAATGTTTGTCCTCTTTTAAAAAACTTTTTTATATTGCCTTCTTGGCTTTTTTCTATTTTTTGCTTTTTTCCAGTTGGGACTTTGATGTCCTCTTTTCAAAATGGTATGTTTTTCTTTTATTTGGGACTTTGTTGTCCTCTTATCTCTTTTTTTTTTTTTAATTAGTTTTTTTTTTTTTTTTGGTTTTGGCCCTATGGCGTGTTTTGTAATTTTTGCCCTTCGGGTCTTTTTTGTAATATGTTTTTTTTTATTTTTTATTATTTTTTTTTTTAATTCTGCCTCTATGGCATTTTTATTTTTGCACTATGGCTTTTTCAAATACTTTAATCCCTTCGACTATTTTTTAAAATGTCTCAGCAGACTTTTGTTTTGTAGCTGTTCTCCTCTTTTTTGAAAAATAGCTACTTCTTTTTTGGTTATTTTGAGTTTCTTACCACTGGTGGGGGATAACTCAAACCAATTTAATTTTAGGTCGTCGATTCTTTATTATTCGAAGGACCAATGAATGAGAAAAGAAAACCAACCTAATGGTTTGGCTGTTGATTCAATTCTTAGTATCCGGCTCGAAGGACCAATGTTGAGAATAGATACACGACCGTTTCGTCTGTGTGTTATTTCAATTCTGATTTTATTTAAGAAATATGTTCCTTACGTACTACTGAAACTAATCTAACTTAACCTAGTCGCAGCCACACAATTGTTCTTATCTATTCTAATATTGAATGGAGAACATTGCAGGGCTGCTTGTAATTTCATTCAAGTGGTCTTGTGCATCTACTGAGCGCATCGATATCTGTGCCTGTGGGTCATAACCTTTATTATCTCACACATTATCGTATGCGTCAGCGCACAAGATCACTGAATTCTTCATATGTGATATTTTATGGCGGCTGGGAAATATTTAATTTTAGAACATTTATTTTTTATTTTCCCAGCGCCTCAATCGCACTCAAAAGTATGTACAAAGTATTTTGTACAATCAGATAATAAATACGACAGATGGACGGACGGAATGACATGCATTAATCGACTCAGAAAGTGATTCTATGAAGATCCTCAAAAGTGGCATGGGTCTACCCCGCTTCCTTCTCCATGTTACAAACAAATTCACAAAAATATAATACCCTTACCATTATGTGGCATAGGGTATAACA